ATTTGCAACTTTAATTTCATACATACATTTTGTTTGGTGTATTCGCTAGCTGTGGTTGCTTCAAATTTTTGTCTACTCACATAATATTTGTTGGTTGAGATATTTCTAACAGGAATGCTGTTTACGTTGCAATGTTGTGATTGGTATTACAAACACCGAAAAAATGCGTCCTAAACAGACAATTTTAAGTTTATTTATTTAGAGTTCGGCCATTGATTTAAACAACAATAAAACAATTCTTTTACAATTAGCACATTAAGGATTTGTATATGTTAATTTTTTTTCGGAATGAAATCACTTTTGTATTGGAATTGTATTTTTTCAGAATATTTCACTTAAAAACACTATGAAATCTCTTCAAAGTAAAGAAAATATGTTATTTTTCTTCTTTGAAAAATTTGCATTTATAGTTATCAATAGTCATTTATCAATAAATGAAACCACTTTATGACAAAGTTCTGCCACACATCGTAAAAACCACTATCTTCTTCAAACCAAAATTAATAATTTTAAAGAATTTTACAATCTGAAATTACGAATGATATACTAAAGCAAAACTAAAAAAATGAAAGTTTGCATTCTTAACAAAATTAATGAGTTTCAAATTTGTTTAAAATACAATATCTCTTCCAAATCTTTTAAAGAGTTTGTTATTTAAACTAAGAATCGATCGGATCGGAATGGAAATACGAAATTGAAAGAATTCTGATTGGAATCTGTGATGTTGTTTTCTAACAGTGATATGATTTTAGAAATGTTTCTTTAACTCTTTATGGCGTTCATTTTTTTTGTCTGAAAAAAATCAGGGTAATAGTTTTTATGCTCAGAATAAAGGAACAAATATTAAACAATTTTTTGTACACATGTCTACTATATTTTCATGGTTATGTAAAATTAAAACTATGATATTTTTTTATTTATTTGAATTTTTTTTTTTTTTTTTTTTTTTTTTTTTTTTTGAAAATCGCAAATTTTTTACCACAAACTAAGTTAAAAAATAAGGAAGATCTTCACCGATTGGCTTTATCCTAGTTCATACGAGAGCTATGCACTCCCAGAGAAACTGGTCAAAATTTAGAAACGACTGGATTTTTAGTTTTTGAGTTATCGTGCCCGCCATTCGTTAAACACTGCTTCGAGAAAAATGTGTTTAAAGTTTGAGAATCACTCTTGCCATCACTTGATGCTGACACAATAAATCGGCTATATCTTCAAGAGTTCTTGAGATTTTCACTTGAAAGTTTGTAGGGACATTTTAGAATTAGAGTAGATTCAAATTAAACAAAAAAACATTTTTGACACCAAGAATGGGGGGGGGTCCCCTTAAACTCAAATAATTTTTATTCATAAGGTTAACAGGGAGGCGAATGCATAGCTTAGTCTTCTCTTGCTGTCAACATTTTAATCGTGAAATACAAACAAGAACAGGATAAAAACTCAAAATATATTTCAAAAAACGTAATGATAGTAATGTGCACGTATATTTTGGTTCGAATAAAAATATGTTTTGTTTATATAAATTTGACAGTCAATGAAGACTTTGAATTCGCCTCCCTGTTAAACTTGTGAATACACCTTGAACTCAAACTTGTTTAAAAATCGATTTCAAAATACCAGGAACATGTTTTTAATTTTGTTTTAATTTTTCATAACAAAAAAAATCAATTAAAAACAAAAAAATTGAAAAAGGCGAAATCGCCTTTTATCGCAATTTCTACTAAAAACCACAAATATGGACTTTAGCCTCTATTTCTCTTAGTTACGTTTTTATTTTGAAAACATTTTTAAAATATAGTATTTTTATTTACTTATTATTATTTAAAATATTTATTTATTAATTAATACTTTTAAAATAATTTGATTGGCAGTCATTGGTATGATGGAAAATTTCAACACTATGCAAAGAAGTGTTAACGGGCCGCCAAATGAATTAATTTTAGTTTCCTCCGAAATTTTGTTTAGCCTTCGATTAAATTATTTTATAGTAAAATTCTGCTGACTCGAGAAAACTGCAATCCAATATTATGTAGCATTGAATGAAAATTAATAGTTCCCAATTTTATATAAATATTAAATTTAATATTTTATTTAATTCTAGAATCCATATTTTGGGTGTTTTTCCAGGTGTTATTAATATATTTGTATATCCTTTAAAATGTTAATCCAACCCAAATTCAGATATGACTGTAGAGTTGTGTCATTTTTTTTTTTTTTTTTTTTGTAACGCATATACAGGTTACAGTTGATTAAAATTTTCAGTTAGACTGAGATCCCCTTTATCTTATCGTACATATACGAAGCAATAATCAGTAGATTTATTACAAAGTAGGCTATAGCAAACAATTGATTACAAATTGTCTGGCCATTTAAACCAATACACTGGTTTTATACTTTTTGTAAAGACGTGCAACAGGTTGTTCGGTTTTCAAATATTATTCAAACATTGAACTTTTCTAAAATTCAGAATATTTTCTCTCCACGAATTTTGAAATGTTAAATTTAATTACAATTGATTTATAAAATATTGCTGTACTTATGAAAATTATTATATATCTAAATTAAGTAAATTGTCTTAAGGGGACCCCCCATTCTCGGTGTCAAATTTTTTTTTCTTTTGATTTAATTCGAATCTACTCTAATTCTAGAATGTCCCTACAAAATTTTAAGTGAAAATCTCAAGAACTCTTGAAGATATAGCCGATTTATTGTGTCAGCATCAAGGGACGGCAAGAGTGATTCTCAAACTTTAAACGCATTTTTCTCGAAGTGAATGGCGGGCACGATAACTCAAAGACTAATAATCTAATCGATCCCAAATTTTGACACGTTTCTCTGGGAGTGTATAGCTCTCGTATGAACTAGGATAAAGCCAATCGGTGAAGATCTTCCTTACTTTTTAACCAAGTTTGTGGTCAAAAATATGCGATTTTCAAAAAAAAAAAAAAATTTCAAAGTTCCGCCATTTTGTTAGTTGTTGTGCGAAGTCAATAATCGTAGTTCATACGAGAGCCAAACATGTACTCTTTCTAACACCGTTGGAATTTTCGGATTCTGATGTTCCAGTGAGGAGTTATCATGCCCGCCATCAAAAATAACGACTTTTCTTTGATCACAAAAAACAACAACAAAAAATTTTTGTAAATTATTTTTCTTCCTTTTTAAATCTTCAAATATATATGTGCAAAGTTACAAATCTTAACAAGCATTGGTATTCATTTACCAGCCCATTTAAAATCGTAAAAATAAAAAATCGAGAATATTGGGGGGGGGGGGGTTCCCTTAAAAGAGAAACTTGCGTCAAACGGCATTTACACTAGAACTTTTTACCGGTTTAACCTGCTATATGAGGATTTATTTGGCATATAAAACTGGTAAAACGATTCATGTTTATAAAGAAAAATTTGAAAGTGAATATAAATTCCAGATTGATGATTGGGGTACATTCACTAGCTTTGATCCATAGGTATCGAATATCAAAATGAATCAATCATATGTTTTAAAAAAATATAGAGAGAAACATGAAAAAACCATAGTAAGGAAATTTGGGTTACATTCGGCATTTTAAAGTGGGGTACAATCAACCATATACATACAGAAAGTGTTATATTATTTCCTAATTTTTTTTTGGATTTGTCTTTAAAAATAATCCTACTAGGACTATTTGTATTATTAGTACGAGTTTTTATAAGTATCAGAGGACAATAACCAAAACAAATTGTATATCTGTTGAATAAGTTCTGAGATATAGTGCTCTAAACAAAAAGTGCAGAAGCTGCCCCAGCCTCCCCTACTATTATATTGATGAAATTCATTTTCTTAATTGCAAACAAATCGTTAACGGCTTTGCGGTTTTAGTCATTTATTCGAGATTAGGTATTTGGCAATTTTTGAGTACCATTTTCCATATTTTGAGGGTATTATGTCATATCTAACTTCAAGTGCAAATGCATTTGAAATAAAATCATTCAAATTTGACCAAAAAACTAATTTTGTACATTCCGTTGTAATAATCACCTTATCTACTGATTATAATTATTTCAAAGCGCAAAAAATGTTTTTAGTTACTTTGTATATTTTTTCTACCATGAAATTGTTTATTCAAAGAAAGCAATTGAAAATTATTAGTTAACAAATGGGAAAAAAATAAAATGCTTTCACGTAACAGATTGCCTGCCTGTGCATGCAATATTACAATCGCTTCCCTTCATTCCGAACCACAAATTGACTGCACTTGAAATATTTTTACAGTTGTATTTTGTTAGTTTTTTTTTCATTTTGTTTCAGCTACAAAATATTTAATTGTAGCTAAATATAGCCATGGCGTGAAATTCAGTTCTAATCAAAATGTTTTACATGTTTTCCTGAATTCTCTTTCCAAAAGTAGATTTCCGTTGAGCAAGCAAATACTTGTGGTAAGGTTTGTATGCGAGCTTGTAATCGTGTAATCATTTGTAAACATTAAAAGTAAAAAAATTATTTGTAATCAAACAATTCTACATCTACGTTTAAAATTCTTATATTTGCCATTTGGGGTATCAAAGTAATAATCAGAAGATAAAAATTAATATAATTTGTCTTAAAGTAATTTATTTATTCGGCTTGAAATGAATGATGACAAACAAAAATACTCAAACTAACTGAAAAATGATAAGGTGTATGTCGATCGCATTTGTGAAGTGGCGAATATTAGCAATAACTAATTTAAGAGTGTAAAACCCAACAACTTTATCAAAAAAACCATATACGACTTGCTATGTAATGGGACCGAGTAGCAACACGTTTTACTCACATGCTATGTATAATCAGATGATGACATTGCAAAAATCAAAATATCTCTATATGAACACAAACAAACAAAAATCGCCAAATACCATTATAAAGCAATTTTTAAATCATTTCAGTTTAATGCACTGCCACTAATCGATCAGACACCATAGACCATACCAGATGGCTGCCGTTGCTCTAATATGGATTGCAGCTCTACTCGCTGTAGCTGGTCCACTACCAATGCCGGTAGATGGAAGACGTCATAATTTGAAAATTTTGGGTTTATTTCCACATCCCGGCGTGAGTCACTTTCACTTCTTTCATCCGATATTAAGAGGTCTAGCGGAAAGGGGGCATGATGTCACAGTTGTAAGTCACTTTCCTGACAAAAGTCCACCAGTGGGTTATACCGACATACCGTTGACGGGAAAGGAAACATTATCGAATAGTGTGGATTTGAAGGTAAGTTTGTTGCATTTCTATTGTTGTTATTTGTGTCAATCCATAAGACAAAGCAATCAAACTCAATTACAATAATGTGTGTATGTGTGTTGCCGTACTTTATTCGCGATAAAATATAGAAACAAATTTAAATTTCCATAGAAAAGTGAAAGCCATCTCAACGTAACATTCGTATCTATTTATGTTTTTTTTTAATAAACAACGGTTCGGAAAATCTATAATATTTTACATTAAATTGTTTAGTTTCATCACTTTGACATCATATGCTACAGATGTTGATATACATATGTACATTATTCTAAATGCTGTCAATAGGTTCGTTCGTTTACTCAATAATTTGTACGAATTTGTACAAATTATTACAAAATGTTGTTCGTTTACCCAAAAATCCTGTAAAAGAGAGTGAATTGAGAGAGCAGATTTGACGGTTGTGTTACTGAGTATTTGCAAATTCTTACAAGAAAAATTTACTCAGTAAGAATTTTCTTGTACCAACAGCTGATATTTAATCAGCTGTTTTGCTATATTTTGTAAACAGACAACAAAATTGTCCTCAACCAAATTGATTGTTTTGTGAATTTTATATTGGTTTTGTATTATTAAACTTTAAAAAATTGATGAAGAAAACGCAAGTATTGGTAAACAACATACATTTTCCGCTTGTTATCAATTTTTCTAATAAAAATTCTGTTTTTTAGTTTGCGCCAATTTGTTTGTTGTTTTAATTAGCTGTGTCGAAGCAATCTTTTTACTGGATGTTGTTCGTTTACTTTTTGCAGTTTTCTCTCTTGAGAAGGAAAAATTCGTATTTACTCTCTGCAAATTCTTACTGAGTAAATATTACTGGGAAAGTAAACGAACGAACCTAATATTAATATTATTCTTCGATGCATTTTGAAATTATTATTGCTTTCATTCCTATAGTACATAATTAGCATTCAGCGATAGTCAGTGAATCGGTTCAGACATCTGTTTAGAATTTCAAATTATTTTATAAACCCTTTGATGTCAACGAATTGTTCTCGTCTGCTTTTTTTAGGTATGGTTTCTAGTTTTGAAAGTTATAAATTATAATATGTATATTAACCACATACGTGTAAACCTGTACTTTATACATAAATATGTCTTGGTTCAGTTTAAGCAGCCAAATAACCCCATGTCCGACCCAGCCAATAATTAATTCAATATTTTACAAATAACATAGATTAACATGTTTTTTACTCACTTTTTAAATATTATATTATAAAGTAATCTAAATGATTGTGAACTCAAATCAGTGGGGGCGATAAGAAAAATCTGTTGATTTAAGAGAGTTTTTAAATTAATTTACTTAAATGTAGCTCACCACATATTTCTCAATGGTAATTAATAAGTACAACATTGAAATCATGGGACAACAATGACATGGTTTTGATTGCTCCTCTTATCTCATTTTTTTCATACAGCTAACTAAGTTATCAACAAAATCAATGACTTACAATTTCCTGTTTTTCTTTCTTCACCTAGGTATTTGAAAATAGACGATTCTATAATCATTTCTTGGAATTCTTTATGCTCTACGAATGGGGAAAGGATGCATGCAATCATACTCTTCGATCGGAAGCCCTCTACAAAGTAATGCGTCAAAAGGTACGCTACGATGTTATATTGCTGGAACAGTTCAACTCGGACTGTATGATGGGTGTGGCACACATGTTACAAGCCCCCGTAATTGGTCTTAGCAGTTGTGCTATGATGCCATGGCATTATGAACGCATGGGTATGCCAATCATACCATCATATATACCCGCACTGTTCTTGGGACAATCCGAAGATATGACTTTGGGTGGGCGTCTAGCAAACTGGATTACCTTCCATGCGATGAATGCTATGTACAAGTTGTTTACCATACCGGCAACTGATTCATTGGTACAATATAAATTCGGTCATGATATGCCTTCGGTCGGTGAATTGGTGAAAGAAACATCTTTAATGTTTGTCAATCAGCACTTTTCGCTAAGTGGTGCTAAACCATTGCCACCCTCGGTAATAGAGTTGGGAGGAGTGCACATTCAAAAGGCTAAACCGCTCGATGTTGACCTTCAAAAGTTTTTGGATAATGCCGATAATGGGGTAGTATTCATAAGCTGGGGGTCAATGATCAAAGCAGAAACGTTACCCGTAGCCAAACGTGACGCCATCGTTAGGGCAGCTAAACGCCTAAAGCAGCGTGTCATTTGGAAATGGGAAAACGAAACATTAGCCAATAAGCCAGATAATATGTATATTAGCAAATGGCTTCCGCAGAGAGATATTCTTTGTCATCCAAATGTGAAAGTATTCATGACACATGCAGGTCTCATGGGTAGCTCGGAGGCAGCATATTGTGGTGTTCCAGTTGTAGCAACACCAATGTACGGTGATCAGTTCCTCAATGCAGCCGCAATGAAACAACGTGGCATGGGTGTAGTTCTGAACTATGAAGATATCGATGAAAATACCGTCCTCAAATCTATTAAAAAGGTTCTTGAAAAACAGTAAGTCTTCAATACGTATATTTAATCAAATTGCATATTAACATATGTATGTATTTGTGTGTTTAGATACTTCGACAATGCCAAAATGATCTCATATGCTTACAAGCATCGACCAAACACAGCCTTGGATACAGCCATTTGGTGGGTGGAATATGTGGCCAATACTGAAGGAGCTCCCCTATTGAAGTCTAGCTCCACCTATATGTCTCGGTTTGTCTACTATTCCCTGGATATTTATACCGTCTTGGGTTTGGTTGGTTTTACTTCGGCGGTAACATGGGGACTATTGATGCGCAAAATTAAAAATGCCAAACGCAATAGGGCCACGACAAAAGTTAAATCTAATTAAATTTTGAACTAGACATCTTTGTATATACAAAAATATGTATATGTGGAATTGTTGTGATAACTCCCACTCACATTCAATGGAAGGTGAAACGTTTCTGTGCCAAATTGGAGAATTTGAAATTTAAATCAGACCGACCCACACATTGTTGGAAGTTTTTCTAAAATTTAATACAGTACAAAGCAAAATTGTTTTTGAGAAACTACTATTTTTAATGCCGTATTCGAATTTTGTTAATATAGTTTGTAGAACATGTTTTTAGTTAATATGTATTTTTTATAATAATTAGTTAATAAAATAAATAAACAATTTTATTCTTATTTTAGTTTGCTAAATTAATTGTATTTATTATTAATGTCACTTATTTCATTTATAGAAGCCACGGATGAAAATGATAAATAAAAAAGCGAACTACTAGGGTGGTCAAATAAACATTACAAAGAAATGGTAGGGACATTTCAGAAATAGTTTTTACATACCTCTGTCGAAAATCTCCATATCGGTCCAATTCCCGTTGCAATAGTCTATTTGTAAATTTTCTTCAAAATGTTGAATTTGAATATCGATTTAGATATTCGATAGTGTAACACTCACAAAATTAATGCCAGAACTCACAATTTTCACTAGGGTACATTTATTTATCGCCAGCGTCATTTAAATGAAACAAGCACAAACATGTCGGTAGTACTGTAGAAATATATATATATATATATATATTTTAAATAATATATAACATTTACTATTATATATTAAATTATGAAAAGTAACTGTTAATATATACCGGCATGATTGCAGAATTACTAACAAGACCTGAGATAAGTAAATCGACTTTCTACTAATCGTTTAATCGATTTTTTGTATTGAAAAATCAAATAGTCGAAATCGACTTTTAATTTTTGAGGAAATCGCAAAGTCGACTTTTCAAAATCGTATTTCGATTTTCCTTCAAATACTTGCAGCCTTATTCTGGATGCCAATTCCACGTGAATCTACTCGCTCTTCCCCTTCGACTTATTCTGAACATTCTGATTTTTTCGCATTATCGCTGTCGCCTTATTCTGAATGAAGTTCGAAAGCGAAAAAATCCGCATTGGGGAAAAATTAGTTATTCTGGATTACAGGGAGTGTGAGAATGTGATGACATTTTGTGCGAAATTTGTCGCTAATAAATTCAAAGCGAGACTACAAAAACATAATAAATATTTTTATGAAAAATATCTACTCAATACTCATTAAGAATATTATAAATTATTGTATGCAAATTTTTAACTCTTAACTCAAATTACAACATGGCAACACACATTACAACTTAAATTGCAATATGGCAACACGAATCTTTTTTTAAACACGCATCTCGCATTTTTTCGTCATTGCTGAAGAGGATAACTATGTAGAAGTCAGCACAGCTGACTCTTTTTCAGCATAGGCAAACCTGTGTTCATGTGTCATTGAAATTAACTTGTACCTCAATCGTTAAGGCGCGTTTAGACTATAGCTTTTATCGTGATAAAGTGAATTATCTCGATTTAATTTTTAAACCGAGCTGAATTTACCTCGATTTGGTCTAAATCCTATGCTAAATCGAGATAATTTCTAATACAACCCTGTTTTTGTACCAAAAAATAATCGTTTCTCCTTAAAGTATGCTTTAACTGCCTGACAAAAATATGTTAATTGCTGAAAATTTACGTTTAGTTTTCATTCATAATAAATATTACTATAATTTAGAACGAAAAAGATATTTATGCAATTTCTAACAAAATTATGAACATATTGGTTGAAAAATTGCCACAGACGTCATGGAAGCAGTGAAATGTATATGTATACGTAAACAAATGTTGCGATTGCCCCTGAATTAAACAAATTTTAATAAGTGAAATACAACCAACCGCATCTCTGTGCGATGGTTGTTGACCGGCCAGCAAAAAGAAAATGAACCGGATATACCGGCCGCCAGATAAAACTGATGAGTTTCGGTGTTGCCACTGCGGATTGTAGTTAGTGGAGACGGAGCGCAAAATACAACCTTGGGAGGGTTTGTAGGTTGGCTAAGTGGGGTAAAGACGAAGGAATAATAAATGTCGCAAACCAAAGGAAACAAAAAAAGAGGGAAAATTATGCGTCTGTAGAAGGTTATAAAAGGGACTGAAAGGGAAAAAACCTTTCAATTCTAAACCGTGTTTTATAACCTTCCACATTAAAAATCGAAAAAGCGACCAAAAACCAAAAGTACAAAAGGATTACCAAAACCAAAATAAAACAAAGTTTTTGTTATATTTTATATTTCAATTTTATTTGTATGTGTGTGTGTGCGGGAATTTGTTTATATCTACGTAAGTGGCAATTTCAACGATAACGTATGTGGACGTAGAGTTAATGTTGTGTTTTTTATGTTCTTTTATGTGTTTAGAAAACCAAAGGCACACTGCTAAAAATTTGATGTCTGGCCTCCTCATTCCATTGCAAAAAAAAGGGGGCCAGTGAAAATTATTTTGGGATATAATTGTCGGATCCCCACAATACCGCCAAAGAAGGTCCACAAAAGAGCCTAAAATCCCCTGTTGTACCAACTGCCAACACTCCACCAGGCAGAAGAGTCGGGATTAGTTAAATAAGGCAAGCCTTTGACCAAGGTAACAAAGAATATTAATATTTGAAGTCCATTTGGTCCATTTTTGTGTGGAACACAGCTTTTAAGCCAAAAACGCCGGTTTTACCTGAAAGATATAAAGAAAATGAGTTAATTTTAAATATTTAAAATTTCTATATATAAAACTATTATAAAATTTTAATTTTACTATGAATATTTTAAGTGTTTAGTTTAAGTTGTGTTGTATTGTTTGTATGTGTTCAATTCTCATGTTGTAAGGATTATTAATACTAAAAGAAAGCGTGAGAGTAGGGTTGCCCTAAAATACCCGAAAGTTATAAAGTGTACAAAAAAAGGCTGTAATTAAAGCCTGTATATAATCCCACTAACGGAGCTCTCTTAGGCAGGGTGAATTAAATAGTCTAATTACCAATAGGTGAAACTAAGAGGTAAAATAGGGGTAATCTGAGAGATTTGTCTCATGAAATTAGTGTTAGTAATCTAAGGTTTATGTTTGATTGTTTTCTTTTTTTTTTGTTAGAATTTTAAGTCAACTATGTTAATAAATGTAACGTGAATGTTAAGAGTTTAAAAATGATGTGCTAAATTTATTAGAAAGAGGGGGAAATTAGTGCAAGTCATCATGTGGTAAGTGTGGAGGATCAGGGGCCCTTATGAATAATATAAATTTTGGATTTTAAGGGTCAAGGTTGGGTGGGCCCTGTGTGGAAGCAGAAACTCCAAGCTTCCTTGTTGATGGTGTATCGTGTTTCTTTTTTGTAAGTGTAGTGTTTCTATGTTTTGTGTATCAGTTCCAAATATTTACTTGTTTGTCCCCTCGGGCTGATGGATAAGGGTTGAGAACCTCCCCAAAGATGGCTGCTGAGCTAGCTGGCCTTAAAACCACAGCGCCACAGTAGGTGGTACATAACAGTATGGCGCCCAATCAAAAAATCAATAAATTAAGAAAATCATAGCGATAACAGCTATGCTCAAAGCAATAGACCAAATACCATGCAGTAAAAACAAAACGAAATATCGCCTTTTCTTTAAAACTATCTTATATTGCCAACTCGTTTTTAGTATTAATTCGGGATAATGTGCAATATTTAGAATAGATTTAAGAGAAAAGTAGGATTTTCGTTCCAATTATAGGGTCAGGTGCAATAACTTTGTTCGTGTAATGTAACAATGTATGTATTGTCTATATGACCAGTCAATTTTTGTGTTTGTTAGAGTAGATTTAATAGTTAGGTTAGCAAAGGGATAAGTGCAATAGCGACTGAGAAGACGAAAATCACAGTCAGCATTGATTCTGAAACCCTGTTCACGAGATCTTTTTTTGTAACGCTTATGTCTCAAAAACTGCCGTGATGTTGACCTCACCAGAATTTATGTTTTGTTTTATGTCCAAGTAAAGTTTTAAAGTGGTGAAAATTGATAATGAAAGCAATGTCTTTTGTGGCCTAAATGCTGCAAACTGCTTTGCTTCATAATATCCTTCCGCAGATCTTTTATTTTGCAAAATTGCGAAATAAATGCGCGGGTTTTTGCCGTTTAAAATTTTATTGAAAATTTATATGTTTAGTCTCGTCCTACAATACACCTCAACAACCAAATTCGGACACGTAGTATTGTTAAAAATAAAAAAGAAAAAAATCCACACACTTAACTCATGATAGCTGAAAAAGCACTCAAGCCCCTCTCAAACACAGAATAAATTGAATCATTAATAATATTGTGTCTAGTGTCTAAAATAATCTGTACTTTGTATGTTTTATATGTTGTCAATTAATTTAACGTTTTTTTTTTAACCATTTTATTAAGTAGACTAACAAATTTAATCTAATAATCTAATTTATATTTAATATTTGTAAGCGTACGTTATAAGATTTTATTATTCTGCCAAGATTTTTATTAAACAAAATTCGATATACAAATTCCGCACATTTCACATTATTTACTTTTTCAATGAGCGAAAACGTTTCAGGAAAAAGACGCAGTAAAAGAAATAGATCCTTAGCCTTTGACCTAAGTAGAACCTAATTTCACTCACCGAAACCCAAATACAAAAAGAAGGGAGTAGGAAATAGAATGGATAATCCAGACACAAATAGGGACTCGACTATAAGGGATTTGTCGGGAACCATAAATAACCCAACTGCTAGCACCAGCGCCAATGCTCGGTTGCAACAAAGTAATCCTCTACCCGAAGTTCAAACACAACAGTCTTATCATGTAGACCAAGTCGTTAGAGGGATGGTACAAGACAGTATTAATGAGGCCAGATTGAATCTGACCACATTAGTATCAGAAAGCGTCAGTAGGGAAATGGGAAAGGTATATGCGGTCATAAATAAATTGAATGAAACCGTAGCTAGGTTGTCAATCGAAGGACGTAACACCCCCCCAA